TGTTCGTCTGCTTCGCCTGCTACCTCATTGTTTTTTGGCACAAATTCTCTCTACATTTTAGACGCTGCTAGATTTACGTAACTCCTACAAACTCCGGGGCTTAATTAAAAGGTTTGCTTAGTTTTTGTCTTTACAATTTAATCTTATATTTAAAATATAAGTTGATCCCAATTGTTCAGTTTTATCAATTTAATGCTGCATATTCATTATTTTCGTCTTCTCCAAAGATGAGAGCAAGAGAGTTCGACATGCTGGGCAAATAGTTTGCCCCTTTCAATATCCACATGCCGGTTAACAAGGAATGCAGTGATCTTCTTGGCTTCCGTTCCGGTTCCCCTTTCTGGATTGAGAGATCTTCAACTTTAATGTTACACATATACAAACACACACACATATACATAAACATATACACATGCTAATTTCATTGGAAACACCTTAGAAGTTTAAGTGTATGGGCCAATATCTATGCGGTTCCAAATCCAATCCGATTCCAAACCCAGGGATACGTGTACCTATATTGTCTGAAGAAGCTATGAGACCCTGTTGCTGCTGTCTACATGTATGCATGCATGTGTGTATGTTGTGGCTAAGTTGCTGCTCTACGTAGGTCTATAAGATATTAATCTCGATATTTGGTTTTGCTTTGATTCGCTTTGTTATGCTGAGAAACCTTAGATGTTTCGTTTATTTTTAGTGACAAGGGGCCGTGGCGCGGCCTTGCCTAGGTGTTCTATTAATTCTTCAATTGCTTTGATGAATTGGAATACACGTAGTTATATTTCCCCTTCGCTCTCTGTGTATGCGGCTCATACGCGATAATGTGGCAACCAAAGTGGAATACTTGTTTTTATGTAAGTAACAGAATCGAAAAACAGGATTGCTAGCATTCTTCAGCAGGAAGAATTTGTAGAGCTGACCCTCATACACTCTCCCGTAAGTCGCAAGGCGTCTTTTCTCCCTCGATCCCAATCTTCTGTCTTCGCCGAATTTCTAGTTTCCTTAACAATTCTAACACCGATATTTAGTTAGTTAAATACACATATATTTGTTTTACTTAGACCCGATCTCCCATTTCTCTCTCCCTATCTCTGCGTCTAAATTAAAACTCTGCTCGTATAATTTCATGTCGTTTTCTGGATATTAAATAAGAATATCTAAAATACCTTAGAGTTAAGTTCCATTTTTGCTTTATATTTGTATATAAATATGTGTTTTTTTTTTTGGATTGGTTTTCCGTTATACTGTTTTTTTTTATACTCTTTTCCTACTTTGCGTTTTCTTTAACAATGACCTTGCATTCATCCAACGATCCATCATTCATTCGACCGATCAAGTGCCTTAAATGCTTTACGTTTGTTGCTTATTGTGTAGAGTTCTTCGACATGTATTGTAAAAACGTGAGCAAATACATTCAAGTGATTTGTAATTACACTGAGAGAAACATTAATATGTGTGTTTGGTTTGCTGTATTTGTATATAATTTGAATAATATGTTTGCTGTTTTGCTTGTGTTCTGGGTATCCATTGTTCGGGCTAATTGTTGATATTCTCTTGGGTCTCAGTGTCGTAGTCCACTAAGTGTACTTGCAGCTAGGTTCGGTTGTCAACCGAATCCGAGCCAAACTCTAACTCGATTTCGAATTCGAACTCGAGTTGCAGTGTAACGGGCAACTGCGCACAGACTCGGATAGCTTTGAGCAATTGTGGGTCACCACGTGTCGCTAAAAGGGATAGTTCGTATGTCGAAACGATAACACAGCTTTAACTAATCATATCAGCGGGTCCTGCCAGCTGGTCCGATCCGATCTGATCCGATTGGCCAGGCCGAAAGATAGCCCGCGGGAAGTGTCGAGAAGAGTTGGAGAAAGGAGTGGAAAACTCACGTGCCATCCAGCTGAGTACTGAGTTCACTGAGGGGGGGGCAGGCAAGGCAGGTAGAAGAAATTTGCTTGGTTTGGTTTTTAAGGCACCATTAAAATTGCTTTTCTTACACGTATTTTTCCTTTGCAAATTTACAAGTACAAGTATCAACAAAATGTCGTTAATAATTACATTAATTACACGCATATTTAGTAAAAATTGTTTGTGAAATCTTTTGAGCTATTTCTCTTATACACACATACACATAAATTAATTATCCCTTTCATTATTTTTATTTTACAAATAATCCCAGTTAGCCACTGTTGACCCGTCTTTCTCCGTAGCCGCCCTCATCTTTTTTTTAGTGTTTTTGTTTCATATTTTTTTTTGTGTAACTTGCGCAAAAAATTTACTAAATATTTCAAATACATTTAAATACAAGTGTACATAATAAGTATATATTTAATTTTTGTATATTTATATATAGATATATCATTTATTTATATATAGATATACGGTTTCTTGACTGATTTTTCATTTCTGTTTCTCAATATTTTATTTTTTTCTCAAGTTCCGCCATAAGTTGGGAACCGAAGTTCTTGTTTTCAAAATGATTGCTTCAAATTGTTTGTCGTCAGCGAAATATATTTGTCACTAAAATCACGAAATAGTTTCGCCATATGATATCATTTTTCCACCGCCTGCCTTTGCTTGATCCTCGGATAGATCATCATTTTTTTCAAAAAGAGGAGCTAACGACTTGGGCCAGGCTCGTCTCTTTGTGGTTTCATGTTCATTTATTTATAGTATTAATTTTTATGCTATTAACAATTTCCTGTAATCAAGTTTTGCTGTCTCATAAGTTTGTCTTTCTTGTGTGAGCGGAAGATGTTAAATTATCAATGATGGAACAAAAGAATAATTTGGGCTGTTGACAATAGAAGTGGTTCAAGAAAACTCGGTTCTGAGTCATTCTTAAATCAACTGCTCAGTCAAAACATATACCTCGGTAACACAGGGGTTAGTTATTAAACATGTTTTTTTATAGATTCATGCATTGCGTTCTCTGGGATATGTTTCCTTTATATGTATGCACTGGATTTATAATTTGTCTTTCTGTATCTTGTGTTGGTTAATATAATAAGTTGTGGTTAGATTGGTTTTCGTTTGCAGTGGATATGTTTTTTTTTCTTTTATGCTTTGATAATTCCTCTTACTGAATAATTAATATGTATAATAAAATTTGACACATTTTGCCTTTGCAAACTGATGCTCTCGCTTTCACCTTCGGTTTTCTACACCGTTTAGCTCATATCCAGAGGCTCTATAATGAATTAGTGTGTGTGAGTAACTAAACGTTTTAGTATGTCTTAAAGTAATTACCACACTTGTGTTTTTGGTTTTTGGTTTTAACTGCCCAGCCTATGAACTAAATTAGAATAAAATTAATTTAATTTAATTTTAACATTGAAAATCAGTTTATTTTTGATGTTCTCTTTTGTTGTGGTTCTTTTTTGTTTCGTTTTTTTAGTTTTGTTTTGCGTATAAAGTTAACAGCTAATAAATTTAAATTATACTTTAATTTAAGCATAATTGTAATATAATATTTAAATCCACATCTCGTTTTTTTCAACGCTTCAGAAAAAGTCTTTTTAATCGCCGCAAAAGTGCTTAAAAATATTATTGTAACTCGAATTGTTTTCGCTAATTTGTAAGTATATTAAATAATGTGGTTTACCATTCAGCAGTAGGCATTTTCACTAGAAACCAAACGAAAGAAACTACAAAACTTTTGATAAGATATTCAATTGGAAATCCATTTGCTAGTTAGATTTTCGCTTATCAAGCATTGTTGCTGTCAACAAATTAAACCTAATTTTGAATAAATGAGTAATTTGAATAGAATTATAGAAGAACGAAAAAGAGAGATATCTAATATTTAGTCCATAATTATTTATGTGTAGTTTACTTGTAATTAATAAACAGAATCAATTTTGCACATCAGTCTAAACATATTCAAAAATCACAAATACAATTTCGATAACAATTACCATAATAGAAATAATAAAATAAAAATTACCATATCAATATATCGCCGTGTCTATATATAATATATATGTATACATATAAACAAACAACTAACAAACGCAAACATCGATGCTAGATGCTAGATGCAATTTGCTGTAAATATAATTTATGTTGTGTCTGCTGTTATCATCTGTCTCTGTCTTTGCTTGCTTGGTTTGTTTGCTTGTCTGTTCAATGTCTCCTTCATATCCGTTCTCTATATGCTTAAAACTTGTTGTTGTTTTGTTCTCTCATGTTTGTTGTTTCCTTTTTGGTCATGCTCGTGCACAAATAGTTGGCTTAGAATTAACTGCATTTTGAAATCTCTGCCTTTCTTGTATTCTCGTATGTTTATGTGGTTAATTGATTTTATATTTTTATTTTGTCTTCATTTTGACTAATCTTACAATTAATTGCTGTTCTGTTCTTACTGTGGGTGGCCGCACGTGATCCGCTGGGCCCCTCGAAAACGGTTTAACATAAAAGAGTTCTTGTATTTGTTTCGCCTTGCATTTAAAACTTAATGAAAATATCATAATTAATAAGAATCAATGAATAAATATAACGTGTTTGTATGGATCTCTTCGAGTCTGTCTATGAGTGTGTCTGTGTGTGTGTGTGTGTGGGTGTGGGTGAATGAATTCAATGTGTGATTTCCGACAGTGTCATATGGGTTGTGTTCTCCTTAATTTTCCGCTTTTGTTGTATTGCTTATGATTTAACATTTGACGTTTCATGTTACTGCTCCACTTCTCCACTGCTTCACTGCTCCTCCTCCTCCTCCAACTCCAACTCCGCCTGTGTCCTCCACTCGCAGTCCTCCTCCGTTTTCAGTTGGCTGATGTGGCTGTTGTTTAGCTTGTGGTTGATTGTTGCATTTAGTGAATGGGTGTTTTAACAATTGCACTGGGCGCAATGTAGTGGTATCCGGGTATGGGCAGACCAGCAGTCTCCATTGATATTCTGAAAGGCAAGGAGGAAAGGCGCATTAGAACTCTGCCACAAAGCGTCTCAAACTTCGCCACAACGAAAAGTTTTTCCCCCGACTAGGAATGATTGCGAGGAACCCCTTCTACGTTCGATTTAGTATTCATTTTTCACTTTATTACAAACTCATGTGTTTTCATCATGTTTTCATTGCATATAAATAGTTTAGCTTTGTTTCGGTCGCTATTGCTGTTCCTTCTGTTCTTGTTGTTGTTGTTGTTGTTCTACAGGTAAAGCCTTTTCTGGTTGGGTGTCTATTATTGTTAATATCGAGAAATATTATTATTCATTATAAGATTTTCATGTTACTACGTTAATCCGTTTCTCTTTTTAACTACTTGTGTTAATGAGCCATAAGAATTATCTTCGCATATATGTATGTATGTATGTAAGGGTATGTGGGTATGTTTGTATGTATGTAGGATGTATGATAAGTTAGGAATATAATTTGGTTATAAAATCGTAAGCCCGCTTAGCTTAAAGTGTTACATAGTGTGTCATTTGTCTTAAGGCTACTGGTATATGTAAAAATAAGAAAATCATATCAAATTCCTTCAAAGTAGCTACAATAGTTTCGTGTACTTTAGGGTAGAGAAAATTAAATTTCCAAATACTTTTTCAACATTATTTTCGACCAATTCAAAAGTGTCTTGGCTACAAATAATAACAAAAATGTACAATCGCATAATAAATACAAATGGGGCTTGGTTAAGTTGGTAAAACTAACAAAAATTAAGTTCTATAAACAATCGGAGACTTAAAGTCTAATACATGATAACGTTTTCTCAAATTTCATTCAAATTCTTCTCCTCCTACAGAACATATGCCTTGAATATGCTTCTCTGACTGCCTTTTCCTGGCGTTTCCATGTTGTTCTCAGTGTGTTTGTTTCGATTTCTATTCAAATAGTTGGTTTTTGTACGCTCATTGCGTGGATTGCGTCAATTAGAGCGAATTGGTCCATAAAGGTCGTTGATCCCCTCCGCCGAGAGCTCGAATCTCATCGCTCCTCTTTTGCCTTGGGGCCCAACGCATTGGAATTTCTTCTTTGTAAACTTCTTATAGAAGGTTCTTTTACTTCATATTCTGTCTGTTTCTGTTTCACTTTTTTCTGCAGATGCTTCTGTTCTCGACAAATGGCTTTCGGGTCTTTATGCTTAATGCTGATTATATATAATCGTATATATAGGGAAAAATACATTTAGTGCTTACGGACTAGGAGAGTACAATGGATTATAAGATATTGGAGCGTGTTTTATGTTACAATGAATGGATTGGGGAAAGATTGTTGGCTGCTCTATATCGGCATTCGGTAATCGACTCCGATAAACGCGATCTAGTCTAATCTAAAGCTTCAAAGAACGCTGCTAGGGATGCGCTAAAATTTGGCAAATTCAGTAATGTACGATACATTTTCTATGTACCTATGTACCCATGTATATATGTTATTAGGCATTTATCAAAAGTTTGGGGTCCAAAATCTATAGCGCCCACTAGGGTCCTTGGTCACTTGGTCAAAATATCTCGATCGGGCCGTTCATGGATGGCCCGCTCCCTACCTATTCGATGCACAATATGGTTGAGTGCTGGATTAAATAATGTCTAGCTGCCCTAAGTGGCCGATCTAAGAGTGACTGCTTACGATTGTTGGTTAGTTTGTTTTTCAAAAACATTGATAAATATTGCGTAGGGTTGTCTATCGGTTACTTGGATACTGTGCTTTAACTAGACGCAAAAAACTGTCTTGAAACTTCGAATACGAATTTGAATACAATACGATTAGGTTCGCAGCGTGTACGCATACCACATAAGTTTAAAGCGAATTTATACAATTTTGTTTCTTCTTCAAGAATCTAGGTCTAAAGCTTTCGCAACGCTATCATGGAAATCCTACAAAACTAAGCGACTATAGCTCCCTCCGTATCCGTAGCCTACGGATCCTAGTACGGGTTGAACTTGTTGCGCGGCTTCTCCGCCTCGCCGCCGGTCTCCGTCTGGTGCTGCCGGAAGCGCGAGGTGGCGTAGTGGCCCTTGGCCCGGTTCACGCCCGTCGTCTGCACCGGCGGTCCGCCCGGGTTGCCGCCGGCCCCGTTGTTGTTGCCCAGCGTGGTCAGGTTGAGCAGGTCGAGGGCGCTCAGGTTGGACAGGGCGCTCAGCGCTCCCGGCTTGGTCAGCAGCTGCAGGGCCGAGGCCAAGGGGCTGGAGAGGGCGGCGGCCGCAGCCGGGTTCACTGCCACCGCTCCGTTCGCAGTGCCGTTGGCACTGGCGTATCCCCCGGCGGCGGAGATGCTGCCGTTGGTCCCGCCGCCGTTGGCCGCCGGAGCGGCACCGTTGGCCACTGCTGCGGCGGCTGCTGTGGCACCCGCTCCCACGACTCCTGCGCCACCGCTGCCGGTGAGAGCGACCGCTGTGACTGCTCCGTTCGAGCCCGATGGAGGAGCCGAGGCGCCGGCAATGGCCGGCACTCCGGCGGCAGCCGCTCCGGGAGCTGCGATGGCACCGCCGTTCTGCTGGGCCTGGGCCTGCTCCAGGAGATTGGCCTTCTGCAGCTCAACACTGTGGACGAGGTTCGGTTAAGGTAGATAGAAAGAGAGAGAAAGAAAGGAACAAATTGGGATATTGTTGGTACTTGTTTCGGTTTCTTTTTGCTTTGCGGCAGGTGATAGGTATTCTCAAAACATTTGGTTCTTTTTCGATTTTGTGGAATTGAGTTGGTTTCGATTCTTGATCTCGATTCTCGATTTTTTTTTTTTTTTTTTTTTTTTTTTTTTTTTGTGTTTTGTTATGCAAAAGGTTAAGGAGGTTTTGTGTGGAGGAACGGTTCGGAGTTGACGGAGAGAGAGATAAAGAAGAAGAGCTTTTTCAGCGATTTTTGGGGGGGTTTGGTGGGAGAGCGGCGTTCAAATTTTGGATGGTAGGAGTAGAAAACTTTGGTGAGCTGTTCGCTTTTTGATGGGGAGGCATGGACCGAAAAAGAGTTTGTTTGATTTGGAGGATGAACTAGGTGGTGGTGGTGGTAGGATTCGGCTGGGTCAGTTTGTTTGTTTTTTGGACGGGGAGTGAGGTTTTGGATCGATTTGGAGTTGAACTGCAGTTTGAAGTACCAATTGGATCAGGTCCAGTTTTTCGTTTATTTTTGATTGTCATTTTCGGTTGTGTGAAAAGTGTGCGATGCGTAGATTAATTCGGTGCTGGCCTCATCATCCTCATAATCCTCCGCCGCCTGCTCATCCTCGGATTCGGCCGGGGCCTGCTGAACTTTTATATAATACATGGTTGGTTGGTAAGACTAGATGCTAGGTTTATACAGTTAGATAAATACAGATTTCCATTAGCTAGAACAGTTGGTTAGGCTAGCGTTCGATGCGAACTACGATCTAGGAGTGTGAGGGTGGAAATTATACGATTGTGGTGCTAGTTGTGGCTTTGCCGGGCTTACGACTTACAGGCTAGGACTTGTGTGTGGCTTAGGCTACGGATCGTGTTAGTTCCCCCACCCCCCAACCACCTTCGTCACCTTTGACCCACGCACCCACCTCCCCTCCCCTCCCCCCTCCACTCGTCATGGTCTGGACATTTGAACGCTCCGCCACTCCGCGACTGAGAGTTGACCTACGACCTGCGATCATCGATCTTCGATCTACGATCTCCGATCTGCGATATGCGATCTGCGACGACCTTCGACCGACGACCTCCTTATACCTTCTCTTTGTCAATTAGCAAGTCAATTCGACAAAATTGATGTTAGACAACAACACACGCAACGCAACAAACGCTCACGCACACAGAGACGCGATGCTGATCATTGGATACAAGATCAATGGACTGATGGACTCACCTCATGTTGATTAAGTATTGGGCCAGTGCCACCGAGTCCGGGTTGCCGCTGATGGTGATGGTGCGGTCGGTGTTGCCGCCCTCGCGCTCCTCGCAGTTCGAGATCCGGATCATGGCGCCCGAGATCTGGCGGATCTCGGCGATCTTGGTGCCGCCCTTGCCGATGATGCAGCCGATCAGGTCGTTCGAGACGGTCATCTCGTGCTGCTGCTGCTGGGCTCGGTTCGCGGGATTCGCTGTACGCAGTTGCGACCCGGCCAGGGCAGCCAAGGCTGCTGGGGCAGAGCCTAGATTAGATTGGAAATCTGTCTGGCATCTGGCCGCAGAAGCGCTCAACTCACCTGTGTGGTTGATGCCCCCAGTGCCGGCCTGGTTCATCCCAGCCAGGCCCAAGGCGGCCAGACTGGCCAGCGGGTTCTTGGCCACCTGTTTGCAGAGCGGGGAGAGGGCGAAACGGATTGGATTGGATTAGATCAGATTTGATTAGATTGTATGGCTTCTTCGAGGCTCAGGGGCTTCGTGGGTTAAGGTGTGTGTGTATGTATACAGTTGGGTTAATTATCATCTATTTATCATGGGGCGGGGTCTGTTTTCGGGGGAGGGTAGATCACAAGATCACAACACAACGCGCGTCAACTTCCAGTAACAGGTAACGCAGATGGAACATAACAAAGGGGCAGGTTGGAACGGAAACGGAAACGGAAACAGGAACAGAAACGGAAACGCAATAGCATCAAACAGATAGATACATGAACGGAATGCAGTAGGCAAAAGCAAACGGGATACAGTACTCCATCTTGGCTCTTTATAGTTACAAACACCATCGAGTGGACTGTGGTGGGGATCGTATTTATTTTGTACATGGAGCCAAAGTGTTCGGCAATGTGTGTGTGTGTCTGTGTTGGTATTTTGTGCAGTGTAGACTGATGTGAATGGATCTGACTTCTCCGCAGTCTTGCGCTATTTTTGTGTGTTACTTCGGTTTATGGTTCTACACATATTACAAGTTGGCTTTACAAAATACATGGTTGAAAGACAGATAGATGGAGGGACAGAGATACAGATACAGAGAAAGCAAGAGGTGACACATTGAATAGATTTACACGGGATACACCTAGGGGAAGCTTACACTTGAGTTCTTCTCAAATAACTGACTCAGTCCGCAAGGACTTGGACTTCATTAAAACATCTTTGATGTTTGTGCTTGAGGTTTCTCCGAAAAGTATGCTAATGCTTTTGTAAATTATTTCCTTTATATGTTTTCCCATATCTGGGTTAGGTTACCCTTTCTCGAGGCGAAATTCAATGCGTTCCAAAGTTGTTTTCTGTTTTCTGTTTTCTGCTTTCTATTTTCTATTTTCCTCTTTTCACCAATAACACCTACAGCAAATAACATACACACACTGACACGCACGCACACGTGTGCATGTGAACTGGGGCTCGAAAGGGTGAAGAAGTGGGTGGGAATTGTGGGCAGGGAAGTGGGGACTATGCACGCGCCTTATAAATTAATCAAATCAAATGCAACACTTGCAAATATGTTTCGAATAATTGCATCTGAATGCAGCTTGAGGGAGAGGGGAGAACGGAGGGCGTGGATTTATGATACACTAGAAAGAGCGCACAAAAAAAGGGACAGAGAAAATCTCAAATAAATCATACAATATTGAAGTGCTTTGTGTGCTTTTATTTCTGTGTGCATGTGTGACAGAGGGAGATGCATCTGTGTGAGTCTGTGTGTATCTGTGTGAGCCTGGGGGAGGCGGATGCATTTGTGTGTTTGGGTAAGAGCTTAGGAAACAAGAACTGAAATATTTATCAAAATGCAATACGAATTCCAAATGAAACAAATAAAACATGCGATATGGAAATATTTTATGACCCAAAAATGAATTGCAACTCAATAAAAAGTTCAGTGACAGAGAGAGAGAGAGGGGGAGGAGGGGGAACTACAATGGATTATCTAGCAAAAACTGTCATAAAAACTTGTGTGTGTTGGCATATTAACAAACACTTCTTGCCAAGCACACACAACACATAGAGGGGGGAACACACAGATACAGATAGAAAACAAGTAGAAACAATTTTCCAAAACTACGAAAAACTTTAACTACAGCAAGAAAAGACAGAGGGGGAAGGTGGGGGACCATAAAGTGCATTTCCTGATGACTTTTGGCTGGGATAAAGGGTTCGCTTTGGTCCTCGGGTTCCAGGTCCCCTTGGTCTGATTTTTAGTGTGACTTCGGCCAACGACTTTGTGGCGGCAACGACTTCAGGGACCTGGACTTGGACCGGGAACTGCAGTTGGCCCAATGCTAATGTCATTGAAATGCGGCCAACGGTTGCGCCGACGGGGGATCGTAAAAGAAATGCCAAAGGTAGTAAACCGGGAACACAAGCTACAAAAACTGGAACTTGGGGCTACTGAGGAGTTTGCTACGGAGGGTAGAAGTACAACAGCAACATACGAACATGACTATCTACACTCAGAAAAAAATTGTTTTGGCTTAACTAACAAAACTGAGGGTTCGAATGGATCGAGGTGTGGGTAATTTTGTAGCACCACCTCTAACCAATAATTAACTGCAAAACTATGCACGATTTTTTTTTAAATTAGTCTTTTGAGAAATGAAATTACTTTATACTAAAGTTTTATGTCCCAAAAGGCAAAGTGAAATACATATGATACTTATTGAAGTTTATGCTTTAAAATTGTAAATTCAAACAGCCAAAAACAATACCCTATTCTTCTTGTATTCCCAACCCCATTTCATTATGATTAAATAGTCTTTACCGAGTCATTATACGAATTATAATATATTGGCAAACTTATCATAGAAAAGTCGAATTTATCTTTACCAAGAGGTATTTAAAGAGCAGAAACCATCCAATTATAAGTTTGATTTAAGGTTGAGTTTAAGATTTTGTTCTGAGTGTTTAGTCTGATGCATGGGGTGCAGGCAGGGGACGAGGGGGGCGGCGGTACTTCATCATGCTCTGCCTGGCGGAGGAGGAATCTCGGGTCATGTTGCGTTTGATTATATTGGTTAATCGAGTACGGTTTCTTTCAAGAGTCTGGTGGAGATATTGGTTTTCTTGAACCGAATCGCATCGATAGCTAAAAACTCACATCGGGCATTTGCTGTAGGTGATGGTGGTGTGCTGGTATCGCTCCTTGTAAATGTGCCCCCTTTAACAAAGGATCCGCCAAGCCTGAGATACCAGCATGTAGACCGCCGGTAGCCAGGGCAAGTGGAAATACTGGACAGGTCTATGTTCGATTGATTGATTGATTGATCATTACGGTTTACGGTTGTGTGTGTTTGGTGTGCGTGTTTGGAGTTACAATTTTGTTTCGTGTTTTTTTTTTTTTTTTTTTTTTTTTTTTGCGATTCAAAATATGTGACCAAGGAAGAAAGAAAAGTAGAAGAACGAAAGTTGTATACCACGAATAAATGTCTTTCAGAGCAAGTTGGTTAAGATCTTAACTTGTAGTTGCTATGGAGAGATGTAAGCTTATCAGATACATGTTTAGATATAGACGTATCGCTAGAGAAACTCTTGGAGAAAGCTTTCGAGACGTGTGTGCAAGTTTCTGGTGTGAAGGCGGGGGTTCTCAACGGGGATATTTGCAACGCAGAACAAAGTATAAATGATATCGGGGGGAAGTACATACTAAAACAAATGATGACATCTAAGAGGAGGAACAAAGAAGGGGCTTTTACAGCGATTTCGAGTGGGTCGGTTTCGGGGCTCAGGTAACCAAGGGCTTCAGGGGCAAACAACTCCATGAAGGACGTTTAAATTGTGGGTCTAATGCCGACAGATTAGCGCAGGTTGAGGTACAGTTGCCAACGGACTGCCAGGACTTCTTTGGCACATCGAAATCACACTGGGTACGCCGGTATCAGGAACACAATATATACATATATATATCAATACATTTGACCGCAGTTCAAAAGTTAAACCAGCAAACAGTACCCATTGTGAGCCAAATTGACAACTGTGGGGTTTTGCACACTACACGCTGCATTGGGCTAACGAATTGTGAACCAACACCGACAAAAACCAGGACCAGGAGGAGAGAGTGAAAGAGAGAGAGCGATTTGTGGGAGAAAGACGGAGAGAGAGAGAGAGATCGCAAATGGATGGTACAGCTAGTTTTTGATTTATTAAATTTTTTCTGGACATTAATTGAATTTGATGCGACAACAAGAACTTTGTCTGTTTTAGTTTTGAGAAACTTTTATTTTTCGTTGGGGCAATGGCTGGCGAGGGGGGCTCTGAAGGGCGGAGAACTGAACAGAACTTTACTGTGCTGTACTGTACTGTACTGTACCGAACTGTGTTGTAGTGGACTGACTGTACTGGGGACTGAATTGATTTGAATAGAATTAGCTTGCTGTTTGTTTTTGCCGTTGTGTGCTGTTTCCTGTGGTTCTGTAGAGCACAAATTCAATTTTGTACGGAGTTTTCAACAGAGTTATAAACAATATTTATTGATACGGATGGATAGAGAGTGTGTGCGATATGTAAGGGCTCGGGCAGGAAGGTATTGGAGCAGTATGCTTTTGTTATAATCGCTAATTGCATTGTTGTTTGGTCAAAACTCATCTAAATGTGTCAGCTTCCTTTTTATTTATGTGGTGTAGTTTTATTGATATTGCTCAAACCGAAAGCTAATTTGAATAATTGGCTGTACTACACAAAAACAAGAAAGCTACCGAGAGAACGAAGGACTTTGGCAAATATGCGTATATAGTAATATATAGGTGGGTGTTGAGTTATTCAGTACTCGATACGGTTAGTTAGCTGGCGCTTAAGGAGGAGTTTAAGACTTCGTGGATCTTGTGGTGTGTCGAGGTACTTGGTTAATGGTTGTTTACTTTCGGGCTGGATAGATATGGGGGTATCAGTTTGTAGACGGGTTTGGAGATTGAGGTGGACTGTGGACTAGTGTAGATTGAACATACTTCTTCACACACGCTGCCAGCGAGCCCTCTTCAGAACAGAACTTAGAGACACAGAGCAGAGACTGAGCAGAGAGTGAAGAGATAGAGAAAGTTCTAGCCCCCGCTCCCCGCGAGCCTTTCTTTCTTTCACACGAACTCACTCGCCTCGCCTCGCCTTGCCACGCCTTGAACTCTTTTCTCCGAGGCGGAGGAACCCAACGATTCTCCCCTCAGGATGCTGCGGACTCGATTCTCGGAGATTCCCGGCTCTCGCAGAGAGACTGAGACAGATGCCGGGGCAGAGTGAGAAAGCGCGAGACACCGATCTCGCAGCCACACGCTCTTAACCTGAGAGAAGAGAGTGCAAAAGAAACTAAAAGCAAAACAAAAATACATATTTAAAGTTTATTTCAAAATTGTTTCGTTAGTTATTTCATAGTCGATTCGATGGCTGTAAAGTTTGTTAACACATTAGTTGTTCACTGATTGGGGTCACCACTTGGACTTGAAAGTAGATGAATCTCATGGGTACGACGATGGGGTTCGGTAATCGGAATCGGTATCGGTAACGGTATCGGTATCGGTAACGGAATCGGTACAGAAAATTGAGAGGTTGGGTTCAAAAGGGTCAAAAACGGGTCACAGAACGTTGGGCAGCTATCAGGGGTCTCCAAGTGAAGAGTTTACAGAAAAAGGGGGAAAGGACTCGTGGGCGGTGTCGCAAATTATAATCGGGTTCTTTAGAGACGAGCAGGGAATCTGGATAATCGGCAGTAACACAAGATAGAGAAATATAGACAGAGAAATAGAGTGACATGAACTTAAGAAATATTAAGAGGAGAAACAGAAAGTGAAGACGCGCAGTAACCAAAAAGATAGTGGGACTAGGTCGGGGCTAAATCAAATTGATACAAAACTGTTTAGCTGGACTTATGTGGGGTCGGTTAAGATAGAGACAGAGCGAGAGATATAGCTGCAGTGGCTGGCAATAGAGTACACAACACTGTTCACTGATCTTAACAACACGTTTAGCCTGCTTTTCTGGGTGCGAATCGGCCAGACGGAGCACCTACATACCTCTTGTGTGGGCACTGCGTAGTTTCCTTGAATGGTGAAGGCCTGTCCGTTGGCCAGGATGACGGGGCCAGTAACTTGCGGTTTTGGTCGGTACGGGATGGTAGCACCGCGTGGCGGGGACTGTTAACAAAAGAAAAATTGGTTAGTTAGATACGTGGAAGAATCTCCAACAACAAACTGCACCATGTTAAAACATTGCAAATCTTAATCATTTTGTGAGATTTAGGTCTTTAATAAGACTTACAGTTGCGGTCATTTTACAAAATGTTGTTTTAGTTATTTTTTATTCTGAGCGTAGCTTCAGTATTATAACCGAAAACTACTGCATATACACAAAGGAAGTAAACATTACTGAGTCACAATGTTTGACTGGCAAAAAGGAATTTATAAAGAATATAAAGCATTTGTTTCTTATCAACAGTTATTTTCGTTTTTGTAGTGATTATAATGTTTAGCAGTTTGTTTGGATAATGTAAGGCTGACTCACCTCCAACATGACAAGACATATCTGATAGATGCACTGGGTGATCTGCTCGGCACTGCCGCTCAAAGTAACCGCCCGCTCTGTCGAATTTGGCAGCATTTCACTGGCAACTTGGATGGAGCAGCCGGTGGTCTGGCGAATTTCCTTGATCTTTGAACCACTCTTGCCTGGGCCGGGTGTAGTAAATAGCATTAGCTTTGATGACTTTGGGTTTGGGTGGCTAGAGCCCACTTACCAATTAACGATCCACATTGACTGGCGGGCACAATCAATCGAATGGGTATTTGAGTTTTGCCAACTTTGCCTACATCATTGAACTGCGAGCACCACTGAAACGGGTCAGAAGTTAGTAATGTGAACCGGAAATGATTGGGATTTGAGGGCGATTTTTACAGGGAACGGCCAGTTGTACCGCACACATACCTCTTCGAACTTCTTTGTAATGAGCGTAAATGCCGAAAAGATTGCATTAGTTGTACCAGACACAGTCACAATGCGTTCCGGGCACGAGCCATCCGAAATGTTGATTTTGGCACCAGACTGGGGAGGAAATACAAAGTTAAAAGGGTTTCTAATGATCGGTAAAGACGAGCGGGCTTACCTCTTCACGAAATCTGTTGACAATTTCACCCTTTTTACCAATAATACTACCAACTTCCTGCAAGGAAACAAAATGCGAAAAATATGTTTAGCATTATAGTTGGGAAAACATGTTGCAAAGTTACTTTTAAATGCTCTTAAGATGTATTTCGCTCGAGGCCACAATCTTGCCACCCTCTGCCGTCTGCGGACATCAAAAACACTTTAGCGAGTTTCGTGTTTAATTTTTTTTTGTGCTGCCACTGTCAACGACGATGCTCAAATTTGATTAAATATTAAGTGATATTATGCCGGAGCATACACCATACACCAAAGCGGGCCATCCGTCGTGTGTGTGCGTGTAACTACTTTTGCATATTTAATTGCCACAAAAAGCAATTCACACGCGACACACCCCGCCGTCACCCACATCCACATCCACAGTGGCGACCAGAAAACCCAAACCAAGCCCCGAGCAAACCCATTTCCCTTTCGCAGTCAGTCGCCTGTCGGCGCTGGGAACTGTCGCACGTAATGAAATTTGCGGCCAGCGCGTTTTACGCGTTTTAATTGATTGTAAATATCAGCACTGCCACAGCCAGTGACTGCGTTTTAAACAAAAACCATTGCGAAAAATGAAAGCGGGGAGTGCGAGGAGGAACTACGAGGAGGAAATGGCAGAGGGGCTCCTCCATTTGCCCAGCAATTGTTTCCCTTGCCACCTCGCTGGGTAATCAATATATCAATCACTTTTAATAAGGGACTTTTTCATTCATCACTGAAATAAAAGCTCAATGCATATTCGCCTGTCAGTCGCTTGCAAATAAAAAACAAGCGAGATTATTTGGTTAACAGCAAGAACGGAAAGCTTTCAATTTAAACGTAAACATTTTAAATAGGGATTTCAGGATCTCCTGAAAAATATGCAAACGGAACCACTCCTGTATTATAATATTTGGCGTTTGCTAGCTGAGTAAATAACTTGGCAACATGTTTGGGTGGTAACAAAGTTTAGGGTTTGAAACAAAGAACATAATTCTTGCATAAAATGTTCTGTATGTTACCTCGTTCAGTTTTCAAATATTTATTCGGCCACGTTAAAATGTTACGACTCGCAGGCATTCAATTTTCTGGCCATAAACCATAGAACAACCTTCACAAATCCAAAGTGCAGCAATCCATTGTGGCAGACTAAAAGAGCACACCCAAAGCCAACTAATGCATCTTGGGGCGGGCAGCTTGCCAGACAAAATGCAAACTGGGCAAAACAATGTGCGAGGGAAATCTGCCCTCCTCACAAAAACCGAATTTTTATGCGCCGCTTGCATTCTGGCCAGTGGCCACTCTTCGCCACAAAATTTATGCCCACGAGAGCGAAATAGACGCGAGCCGTTTATTCGGCTGTATAGATATTTATTGTACACAAATGTCAGAGCGAATTGGCATAATTATTGGCGTAATTATCGTTGAACGGCAGCGAACCCGTCGCGAATGCGTTTTTACGCCTGTCTGCACTCATAGACGAATTTTTGGGCGGCCAGTGTAATTTATGGGACAACTTTGCTGCCGCAAACTTAAGCAGATATAAATTGTATCTGCGTAAGCGGTATATAAGTATCTAAGCGAGGCCCAGAGACCACGCACTTTCGGGGTCCCTCGTAACCATTCAGGTTGATGGCTGCTCATCAGCGCCTCGGCCTCATCATCATTAATAATGTGGCCAAAAGCAGCTCCCCCTCCCCCTCTTCCGCCCGCTGCTTCCATTCAATTATCTCGTTGCGACTGCGAGCCAGTTCCGCTCAGAAGTTTGCGCAATTTGCATAAATCGGATCTGACTGACGTTACGCGTTACTTGATCCCACATTCCCATCCCACACCCACACCTCCCCCGCAGTTTCGATGGATACGGTGGACAGAGCGAAATTCGGGACTTTCACTTGATTGCATTGATTTGGCCTGGCCTTTGACCATCTTTCCCCACAGATCCGATCCCCTGCCGTGCTCAGTATCGGCAATTAAATTCACGGCATTCCTCGCTTACCCGGCTCCTGCAACAATGAACAATCGCATTTGCCATTTTCGCATTTTCCGATTTCCACATGCGTGCGATTTTCGTATGCAAAAAACACTTTGTGGTCCAGCTGGAACATTTTCGCCAGCCTTTTGTTGCATGTTTTGGGTTCGGCAACGGCAACGCACAGCTTGTTGGGCTCAGGCTGAATCGATTCAATTCGATTTGAATGGCTTGCATAAAATATGCATAGGAAAAGTTGACGTTTCAGAATGCCAACATTCCATGTGGTCAGAGAATAAGTTTTGGTTGTTCATTTCTATTGATTTTATGTTTCACAAGGGATTATTACACATTGGTTGGCCTTTGGTAAAAATAAAAGCCTTTTACCAGCAATGAGAGAGAGGTGAAACAAATTAAATAGGACTGAACAGCAGGTTATCTGCAGCAAGAATGAAACGTTTTAAGAAGTAAACTAAGCAAAGCCTGAGAAGACAAATACAAATCGGAAGATTTGAAACAAGTTAGAAGACAATATAAATCCATTTGTACCACCTTAAATAGCAGTGAATGCAGGGTACTTGAATATTTTATGAAGTTGTTCTAAGCTACTTATTTGACCGCCTGCGTTGCATAATCATTAAATATAGAACAGCAAACCCATGTCCAATTGTTTGTGCCCATCTCTTTGTATTTTCCCACACAATATCTAGCCAAGCGCAAAATTTGGCTAGTTCCATTTATCACTATAAGACGAAACATGGGCAGCTCAGAAGATTATGACAGTAACAAAGGCCATCAGAGAGGAAAAAAAAACAAACAATAACTGAAAACGCATTAAAGTTGAAGTCCGAAGAATGGCTAACGCTAATTGTGGGCCACAATAAAAGCGGCCAAGAGGGGAGGTTGGGGCAAAAGAGTTTTTGATGTTAGTGGAGCAGACAGTAAAGACGGAGAAAATATAAAAGAAAGAAAACAGACGCGGCTTTGGCTGTAGCTCATTCAACAATCAACAAAAAAAAGTTCGAGTAGCATGACTTGTTCCATGTTTTTCCCCTTTTTCGATCTTTGCGGATTTTGGTTTTAGTGTGTGGTGGCGATGAAAATTGTACAAAAATAAGTGAATTGCAGCAACAAAGAAACAGCAGCCAGCAGCAACGCTAACAACAACATCACCATCAGCGGCAAAAAATCTCTGACAGCAATTGCAAAACCGTGAGAACCATTTATGGGAGCTGCTGCTGCTGCCGCCGGTCGGCAAAGGAAAAATGCAAGAAAAACTTGCCACAAATGCTGGAAAATGCAATGTGACAAAGGGGCGGGGGAGCGCACATATGGCCTGCTGCGGCACACATGTGCCGCCCTCCCCTCCCCTGCCACCCTTTCCCGTCCAATAAATCATGCAGCGCATTTGTCGCCCTGCAAACTTTTATTTCGCATTTTGGCCGTGGCGTTGTTGCTGCTGCTGGCATGCGAAACGCAAAAAATTGCACAATTAAATTATTTACAATTTGCCAGGGCCAGTTGCAGGACAGGGCAACATGCCACGCAGCAAGTGGCAAATTTTTAATTTGATTAAATAACGAAAACAACGCACGGGCGAATGAGAAATGTCTCCTGCAGGCGAAGGGAGACTGAAACGCAATCTGGATGGCAGGAATAAAGTCTAAGCCCTAATTTGGGTAATGGAATTGGAAGATACTGTGTATGTATTATAATACATAGTTAACTAACGAACTTTGCCCCAGAAAAAAAGTCTTCGAAAATATTGAGCTTCTCCCTGTCCTTCCACTTCAATCCATTACACAACCGTGCCCTAAAGTCGGACGCTTCGGAAAATAGTTAATTAAAATTAGACAAGTGCTCGGGAAATGTGGCAGACTGTGATGAAAATTCGCATAAAGGTGCCGTCGTCGGCGTCGTGCAATTTCACTAATTAAAAATGCATGATTCAAAAATAAGAACAACTGCAACAAATATCTCTGTCTACTGCCCTGACAATTCTAGGCGAGAGAGCAACCCACATTTCGGTTTCTTTTCTATGCAATTTGCGGATGGCTGCCAAGAAATAAAAAGGTGAAGAGAAAAACTGAAACCCAGCGGCCGGGGGCCCAAAACAAAAGAAAAAGGTGTTTTTTTTTTTGCACACCCTGTCGCTCGATTGCATGGCTAAGTTGTTTATTTTCCTCGCGTTTCTGTTTTCGTTTTTCATAAATTAATTAACTGCATCACGACTTTGGACGCGACTGCAACTGAAACTGTGACTCTGACTCAGACCCAGAGACTCAACGCGCCTTTCCGCATGGAACTAATAAGCCAAAGTTAATTAGAGACGCAGGAAAATATCGAAAATTCTTTGCTAACAATGGCAGTTTTGGCTCTGGCGATGACCTTGCTCATTTTTGTGGCCACGACTGTCGTCTGTATACCTAAAATATTTATACTCAATTATCCGTTAATGAATAATTGCAATTTTTATCGGCTTGCATATTTATCGGATGACGAGTCAGATTAATGACAAAGCAATCGAGAAAAATTAATATTTTATTCAACATAATTAATAATTAATTTATTATTATCTGCTTTGGCCATTTTTATTATTTTATAGCAATCAATCGTTTGTTAAGACGAAGTCAAACGATTACACAACTCTTGTTCCGAATGCACTTGAATCGTTTCCATACATATTAAAGGTAGAATGCGATTTCAAGCCTGAGAATTATTAAATAAGAGAATATAAAATAAGCAAAACCAAAAAGATTTCCCATCTTAACCTGCCTCAAAAGCGCTCCTGCTCTTGCAAGACAATTAAACAATTTCGATACGGATGTCGAGATCTGTGTTTAATTTAATTGTATGCCAACTCAGTTGACAGTGGTCCGCTGTTTATTTGTTGGGCTGTCGTTTTTTTTTTCCGACTCGCCACTTGATTTGCATTGCGCTTCAAATTTATTCACATCTGCGCGGCTGTTGAAAAAATCGCATAAATCATGCTAATCTATAACTATCGATCAAGAGAGCCAACAAACGACAGCCTTAGTCTGTCGGCGCCGTACAAAAGTGTCTTGTGAATTTATTGCCCGAGTCCTTGCGTTCGCCAGAAAAAGAAAATCTCAGAAAATGTGCAGAATTTGCATTTACACAATATTTATTCCTACACGGACGCCTTTCACGCTGCCATATTGTGCAAAAGCCAGAAAAGTGCGCAATTATTCATAAGATCCGTGATCGGCGCGGCGGAGGTATTCCGCACCAGGTAGCGATATCTTGCCCCAGCCTCCCCCTTCACTGCCTTGGATTAATTTTGCTTTCTTTGTCTATCTGGCTGCTGTTTCTGCCATAAATTGTCGCGTCTAAACATATTTCTGGCCTTTTTGCCAATTTTCAACTACACATCATGTAAAGCGCAGCGCCCCTCCGCACACCTCGATGCATCTGCCTGTCGCCTTATCTGCACCTGTCTCTGCCTTTCAATTGCTTGTGATATAAAAATAGTATTCAACGACGACCAAATTTATAATTAAATCGATGCCTGGGCAAATCTAAAGCTGCAAATCGGCTTTTTTAGCATCTCAGTCGGGGGGAATAAGGCTAAAGAGATAAATGACAGCTTTGCCAGCTCAACACGTGCTCTGGAGTCGGAGTATTACCCGTTCCCCGTCTTCTGGCTAACATTTCTCAAGTGGCAAGCCTCTCATCGCATCGCTTCTTAACTCAACTCAACTCAACTCGATTCAACTCAAGTAACAACAACGCCGCTGCGGATTTGCGTGACAGCCTTTTCTGGGTTGTTGTTGGTGGCTAATGTTGTTGAATAATAGTTTTTAATGGCTGTTGACTGTTATTAAATAAATAAGCAGCTATTTAGTGTCGGTTTTTCAATCTCTTTGTTTAATGCCGCTTTTATCTTGACTGCTTTGGCTGCTGTGAATCACTGCCTGAAGTACCATACGTAGGCTGCAGTTCAATGGAAAGCAACGTTTTTTTGGGTTTTCCTTGTTAGGAAGTTAATGGAGTCGCCGCAAGTGCACCGTTTTTTACAAAAAGCAAAGGTAATTAAAAACGTTGAAAACGTTTTGCGTATGTCAATAAGCTGATAAATCCACTTATGCTAACTTTATGCGTTCATAAAAACTATTTTAAAAGTTAAGACATAAAAAGTGCCATCCAATTTAAATAAAAGGAATAATCGTTTTATTAAAGTTAAATACATTCGTACATTCTTTATTGCTGTTTTTTTTTGCCAGCTAAAGCTTTTGATAAAGTTTTTAATTTAATTGCTCGCCGCTGGGTGTTAATGTTGGAGAATTGCTATCAAAACATTTCCCTTAATTAAAGCGCATACAGCGCGCTCCTGACTCCGATTTGTGGTTAATTTTGTCCAGGCAAATATTTTAATATTTAATTTTTTGCATGCATCTTTTTGCGACTGGTTTAACCCGTTGTCCCGAAGGCTGATTTGCTATGCGAAATAACCCGCGGTCCCACCTGTCAGTGGCTCCATATGCCATTTACATATAATATGTGCAAGTGTATGTACCACTTTTGTTATTGTACGCAGCGAAAACAATTTATAAATTGGTGTACTTTATTTGTTTTTGTTTTTTATTACTCATATCTGGGAGCCGTAATGATTGTTTAATAGCCGATGCCTTCCTTCGTCTCGTTTTATGGCCCAATTTTTATATCTGTACGTATTTATATGCACTCACATATTTCTCGACTCCCCCGCAACTGCCTCTCGATTTCCATTTCCCCTCATTTACCTAAAATGCAATGGCATAATGCGTGACGTGGCGCGTATTTAATTTTAATTTGCATACAAAATTCACGCGTTAATTTGTTACTTTTTTCATTAATGTTTGCCCCGGGATGGTTGATATTTGTTTGCCCTTCAATCTGCTCCCCCATTCCCCTTATTGATTTTTGTGCGAATCGAAAAAAGAGGTCTATAAATATTTAAGATGTCAGAGCTCAATGGTGTGCATAAAAGCGTTCATATTTTAATAGACATTTACACTCGATTCAAAGTGGGTGGAGTAGTCGAAAGGCAAGTTGAAGCCCACTTTGATGACTCTGCATTTTACTGGCCCCTAAATGATTGGTTTCGGAACGGTCTATACTATTTTCAAAGGAATTAAAAACTCTGTATATGACACTTTTTAAACTAATCTGAACCCGTTTTGCCTTATGAGTAACATTTTCAAATGCACTAATTCTTATAAATTAACTGCTGTTTCTCTTTCCCAGTGTATTTTTATTCCAACTTACCTTTCCTTGCATAATCAGCCTTATTGTGAGCGTCACCGATGGATCCTCGTGTTTGATGGACGCACCGCCCGCACTGCTGCTCGTGTTATTGTCTTCCATGGTATCTATTTTGCTGCCTTGTCTTAACTCGGTTTGGATGAAATTTATCTGGATCTGACCGCGTGGATCGGTCTGTATCGCAGCAGTTGTCTTGGTTGTCTTTCAAGGGGCTCACTTTCCGATTAGGTTGCGGGGTTTGTAAATATAACTTTGCTATATACCAATCATAAATGACCGATACATGAACTATACATATAGAGATTTTGGCTACTTTGCTTGCGGTATTGTATGCTTTTCTAGATAAAAATTAAATTGGTGGTGTCTTTTGCTAGTCGTACTACCGTTGTTGGCTTAAGCTCGCTGCGTTCTCTTTGCTGCTCGTATCTGCTATCTGCGGTTTTCAATTCAAATTCAAATGCAACAAATAATCACTGCTATGAAAATATTTGATTTTTCTTTTTCTGCCTTAAGAGTTCTCGTCAGTTTGTTGTTGAGCAAAAATACTGTTGCTTAGCTGATGCATTAGAGATGTATATTTATCGGGTGCTGGGCTGCAATGGGAAAGATAAAATGGAAATGGTTAGTTTTTCACGCATAAATCATTTCAAAATTTACTTATAAAATTTAAGTTGCCGCATAAAATGTTTTATTTTTCATTCGGGTCAATAAATCACAAAATTAGCCAAATTAGTTTTGTGCACAAAGTGCCAGCAATGCATTTAATCACATTCCCATGCAGAGTTCACGACTTCCGGCACTTCTGGCTGCGCAACAACAATGAGGACGAGCGGCCCCCAACCGGACTCGTTCATCATCCGTTCAGCATTTGCTGGCAGAGAGTGGCCCCTGTCCCCTGTCCTGGGCCTGTTTGTAATTTTGATATGAAATTCTTCTTTTTCTTTCTCTTATTTTTTGGGATTTCTTTTTTTGAACCTGCGCCAAGTTTTTCCGCATATTCCAAACGCTGTGTACAAGTATGTACTCGTCCGTATTTCTGCATACATAATATTGATGTACTCCGGCCGCTGCCTGTGCTTTTTGTTGTTGGTTGATGTTGTTGCCGGGCCGGGGCATTTCTTACGCTTGAAATCACTTCATATGCAATTTAGTACAGATACTCGCACACATTTCTCGCTGGCTCCTTCCCAGCCTCCTTTCCACAAATTCCCAGCATAACTCGATGTATCCCGTGTACGAATGCATGTGTACGGACGGATATGTACAAATGTTGCCTCGACTTCGGCAGCGGCATCGGCAGCAGGCAGCAGGCAGAAATCATTCCCGGGGGCCACGAGAAATATTTGCGCAGCGACCAACGCGATGACTACGAAAAGCTTCCTGTCATTTCCCCCGGCTCCACATCCTCCCGCTCCCAGCGGCCCCTGCCTGATGGCAGGGTTGTTTATGAAATTATGCGCACTAATTCCCCATGTAACGGTGGCTCAGCCCACCTAGACAGAAAAAGCCAGGACCAGGACCAGCCACTGGCAGAAACACAATTCTGAAGCCCAGACTACCCACCAAAAATGCGCATAACTTGGGCGAGTCCGCTGCACTTAGCATTTGACGGGCTAACAGGCTTACCTGCAAAAAAGAAAACCCGCGCCACAGCCACACCTAATTTGAATGTCCTGGAGCGGCGGTCAAAGGTTATTCTACTCCTATCCAGGAGGCCCGCAGAACAACCAATGTAAGTGGTGATCAATGCCAGGCCAACTAAAATGCTGTAAATGCAAAATGAAGAGCTGACAAGAAACAATTTATATCACAGAGAAAACGAACAAATAAGCTAGTTCTTAGCCATTGTTATTCTGAATAGTCCACCAGGAGGTGGCAAATCATATATATTTCTTTCTTGTTCTTTAAGATCGTTTATGTTTTTGAAGCGGTTTCCCGAATCTCGCCACTTTCTTTGACCAGAAAACTGGTTTTGCGGCCCTTTAAATCAAAGTCACCTTGGATGTATAATTACATGGTTTAAACACTCAGAACCCCTTCGCCAGTTATCTGCCCGCATCAAAGATGAAAGCAAATTGGAAATTACAATTCCAGCTCCGTCCTGCGTAACCACGTGAACTCCCCACTGCCTAACTGGGCTGTCATATGTAAATTGCACCTACAGGTACGACGACAATGGGGGCACCATTGGAAGCCAGTCGCTGTCAGTAGACAGAGGTAGCGGTTTCCCCTCCCTCTGGAGCCAACGAGCAAACCCATGTTAATATCTATTGCTCGGCACTGGGGAACGCCCGCAGCGATGTCTTAAGGTTGCACTCCGGGGAACAGGCAGTTGAAGGTCGGCGGCTGGGGAGGAGTGGGAGTGGGAGGGGCAGGAGTTGCTGAGGGAGAAGCTGGCAGGACAACAATGACAATTCTAGCCGCACACAATGGGCGACTTTCGACGGAGAAGGGCTGCAAGTGTCCAAGCCAAGTGCAATAAAATAATAGGTTCCGTTGCAAGAAATGTGCATTCTTCGCATCGCCCAGACAGGATGAGCTGGGAAAAATGAAGATGTCTGAGCGGAGTTCCTTACTTTGCACCAACCTCCGCCAACCTCCATTCCCATCCACTCGTCCAACTCATTATCAATCATACGCACTGTCTGACAGACAACTCTGGCTTCGACTCCACTCTTTCCTACTTTTTAATGACTTTTCTTGGGGCTGCAGGAGCGCAGCACTCGCTAGTACTAGCATAACTAGTTTTCTTTTAATTAACTCGACATATAAATGCCAATGTCTGTAATGGCAGCCAAACCAGTTTGCTTTCTAATTTTCTTTGGCTTTCCACACGCACACACCGACGACGGCGGAGATGGGAAATGTGGCTGTGTGAAAAGATTTCTAATTTCCTGCGAGAGAAAAACAAAGCCACAAATCACAAAAGAATCTGCTCATCCGTCCTCTGCCATTCTTCTTCGCCAACTTCATGAAACTTGGCAAATGGGAGAGTAACCCCGACATAAACTGCGTTTTCAAACTCATTTACATGCTCAGCCATTTCAATCGAAACCCTCGCAGAGAGCGGGACAGCAAGTTATGTTTTAATAAAAAGAAAGCACAACAATCGTAGTCTACTTCGGGGCTCCCAAAACCAACAGATCCCTCCTAGGCACCCACCTTTCGGCAAGTTTTCCAATTCAATTTCGGGCTATCTCGCAAAAAAAGAGGAGAGAAAACAAATACACAGACACAATAAACGCTAAATGCTGAACGTGACACACACATGGCTCAAAAAGGCTGTCATGTGTTCTGCGATGAGCCGGGGAAATGGGGAAATGGGGAAAGGGCGACGGGAAGGCTGTTGGCAGAGCGACTTTGTTGACGCCGTTGACTTTATACGTCAATTTCATCGCCGTCGTGAGGAGTTTTCGTTTCGTTTATGGCAGCCGAGGCAAAATGGGAGAAGGTGCTGTGGAGGGGGAAGGGGAAGGGGAAGGGAAGGGGGGAATTGGTTGGGGCTGGGGCCCAAGCAAACATCAACGGCAGGCGGAGGAGGCTGCTCTGCTGCTGCGGAGGCTTTCACCCCGACTGTCTTTTCTAGTCACCAGCCTCGGCTCCCATGTCAAGTTGTCGTCGCCGACGACGGCGTTGTTGTGGCAAAGTCAACCGCATCATCGTCATCATCATCACCGCCGTCATCTGTCTTCAACAACATTTTCGTTACACTGTTCACCTTGTCTGCTGGTCCAATTTTCGCATCTCTGCAAAAGAATACTATACAGCCGTACAAAGTGGCAGTGAAGCAGGAGGAAGCTCCTCCATGTTGGAAGTAAAAACTCCAGGAACATTTTGACTGATTCCCCAGTATCAGTAACAAAAGCTGCGGATTTGAAACTCCCTTCCATTTATCATTGAATAAATATTAAATTGTTCTCTTTTATAGGTTTTAACGTTCTTTAAAACTCCCCACAGCCGAACTCCTTTGCATGGAATTAATTTTTCAAATTAATTATGCACATGTGCAGCTGCCCTAGCAAAGAGGCGGCTGGAGTTGTGGCCCCGCCCACTTTGTCTCCCTGAAGGGGGAGTAGCTTGGGGCTGCGACAGCAAAGAGAAAACTCATTAAATTGCATAATTATGTGTACACACACGGCCTGGGCCACATACAAAAACCTGTGTCGTCTCCTGTAATAATATTAATATTAATAACGTAAAATACTCAAACAAACTTTCAAGTTGAAAGTGGTCAAGGGTTCTTGGATTGCTCGACGTTCTTGGGCACTCGCTTTGGTCCCATGGCTGCACTTAATAACATTTCGGTCATGATTCCTGCTCCTCGTCAGGTCGTCATAATTTGATTTATGATGCGGTGGATGCCACTCACACACAGACACACACACAGACCCAGGGAACTTTAAAAGATTTCCCACTTGAAGGTTTTCCTCTTGGAAAACTCGTGGCTTTTCCTTGCCCTACTCAAAATGGTATTTTCCTTTCGCATCCCGAGCAGTCGCAAGTGTTGCAGAAATATTTAATAACCCGAGAACACGGTTCAGGGGAAAATTATAGCATACTTATGTGGATTCGACACGGACATTAGCAAAGGGTGGAGCACCCGAGACTGCCATATTAATTTGTGTCAAATGAGTAAAACGCAATTAAACGCACATGTCATCGCGTGGCCAAATGGCCAATAACCAAGCGGGCAAATGGGGATAGCACGGGTGGAAAGTGGGTGGAAGGTGGGTGGAAGGTGGGCACCAGCCTCAGCATCCGTTGCCTCGGAATCGATACGCAAACAAAGCGCCCCCTCTGCAAAAGCAACTATAACCATAACCAGAAAGCGAACGAATTGCCCGGGAATCCCTTAATATGATGACCTATTAAAATTACTCTATGCCATAACCACAGACCTCCCCCACACAAACGGGCGAAGCAATCTTTTTCTGTGCCTATTACAGCATTTCTACCATATATGTTTTGTATAGTTTCCTATTCCCGCATGAGCAGGATTCCCCCCGCCTTACTCTATTAATGGCAAAATGATATTCTCTGCTAGTCAGTCCGCCATGATAAAGCAATTATTGGCCATCAACGAGGCCAGCTATCGAATAGAAAGCCTGCAGCAGCGAGTACGTGAGTCGTGACTCGTGAGTGGGTTATGGCTTTGATTGTCACGTGGCTGTCACTTCCACTCACGGAAATCCCCCAATTTAATTTCCAATTACTTTGGCTTATGCCAGGTCCTTTAGCAATATGTTCCCTAAGCTCTGCCTTCATTTTGAGTAGGGATTTGCATATTTGGGAGGGACACCTCCCTTTCCTCCTTTACCCCTTTTAATAACTAAAACTAAACTGCTGGATTAATAAATAAATCTGTGCGAGTGAATTATACATTTCCAAATGGAGTGCCCGAAATGCACCCAAAGTTGGAGACTTCTCCAAGAAATGGACACAGAAGCCTTCAATTTTGATTTGATTAGCTAAAATACAAAAGCAGACTCTGGGGGTTTAACCATTTGCCGACTTGTACACAAACATTTCCCTATTTGTGTGGCAAATATTTGCCTTGGCTTTCTGGGTCTGCTTTTGATTATGTTTTTTGACC